GTAATAATCTGAACAATAAAAATTTAATTAAAAAAACTGAAAATAGTGGTGCTCTGCAAGGTTTCAGAATCTTTTAAATTACACATAGACACAGAGACATGCTAGAAAACAAAATATATAAGAAATAGAAATATAGTTGAAAAATGTATTACTTGAGAAGCTCTTGACGCAAGTCCCAAATAGATAGTATTCTTAAATTCGTATTTTTTTCAAAGGTCTCAGGTGGTATGATCTCACTAACTTGGCTAATAAGGGTAACTCTGTGGGAAGCTTCTTTAAAGCTGTCTGAATTATATGAGTTCTAAAGATCAAACACTTTGTGTGGTAACTGGAAGAATTTACCTCATTGAATGTGAAAAACCTTTAAGAACATCATCCTCAGACTATGTCTAGTAATATTTTTAGTGATTTTTATTTATTTTTTTTAGAGAAAGAAGAAGGGAGAGGGAGAGGAACATAGATTTGCTACATCCTGCCTACCCCCTACTGGGTATTGAGCAGACATCCCAGGCATATGCCCTAACCTGGGACCTCTAGGTGCATGGGATGATGTTCAACCGAGCCAGGGCTTTAGTAATATTTTTTCAATAGAAAGGTAGTCACACTGTCATAACTCCATTAAAAAAAGATAACACAAATTTGAATACAGCACAGGTGTTCCTTTGCATTGTAAACTACCATTTCAAGCGTTTACTAGAATTGCAAAATAATGTTGATGAAAACTTCAAGTTGCAAAGAAAACTGACAATCATGTTTGAAATATTATTTTAAAATTTATCTTTCCAATGAAATCTTTTCACGTACAATATTTCAAATGAAAACTTGGCTTGTCTAAAGTTAAAGAGTGATTTTTAATATGCCATTGATATGCAAAATAGACAGGCAACTTTTAGCAATGTGTATTAACAAACAAGCAGAGAAATAATACTACGTTAAAATACTCTTCTTCCATAGGCAGAATACGAGAAATCATTTACGCACTAACTCTAAAAAGAGCAATAGGGAAGGCTATGTACAGAAAAAGAAAAAAAAATTAGGGTCAGGACACAAATAAGCCAAAGAGCTCACATAAATATGCTGCAAGGGAAGTATCTGGTGGTCCCCAAGAGTTAGAAACCACAGCAAAAGCCAACTTATCCAGTGTCCTATTGCCCCATCTATGGTTCAGGTTGTTCCAGCAGTTCAGTTCGGCTACTCAGGTCCACAGCAGTGTTATGAAAATACTGAATACTCACTATTTCTTTTTATAAAATTGAAAATAATTTATACCATGAGAGAACTCCCTGTATCCTGAAATTAAGTCTTTTGCATCCATTTCTTTGCATATTTTATCATTGAAGGCACTCAATATATATCCACTGAATATAGAAATAATTTGCTTACAATTAACCAGGAAGTAATCAAGTTATTTATTTTCTAGTAGGACTTATAGAAACTTAGTAGGCTGACAGGATTTTCAGAGATCATCTAGAGCAATGCCTCATTTCATCTATGAGGAAAATAGAGCCCAATGATATTAAGTAACTTGCCTAAAGTCATACACACAGTTACTGATACAGTGAAGAATGAAATCAGTCAATGGTCTCAAAGTTATGTACATCATTTTCTCATTTAATGATATCACAAGTATGTAATCATTACCATGATCATTTTCATCATCAGCTACTATTATGTTCAATGCCATCTTTAATCTTACAAAAACCCTGTAAGAGACAGGTATTATCCCCATTTATTTATTTATAAATATATTTTATTGATTTTTTACAGACAGGGAGAGGGATAGAGAGTTAGAAACATTGATGAGAGAAACATCAATCAGCTGCCTCCTGCACACCTGCTTCTAGGGATGTGCCCGAAACCAAGGCACATGCCCTTGATCAGAGTCAAACCTAGGACCCTTTAGTCTGCAGGCCGATGCTCTATCCACTGAGCCAAACCGGTCAGGGCTATTATCCCCATTTAAAAGTTAAGCAAGTGAGAAGTCACATAGGTGGTGAGTGAGATGAATGAGTCAGGACTCAAAGGTAGATTCATCTGATTCAAAGCCCACAAACTTCTCCATTGCACTTCATTATCTCCTTCAAAATGATAGTTTTTAATTTCTAAATATATCTGAATCTCAACCTATAAGCTCAATTATAGGACTATGCTTGAATTAAAACATTTTAATAATAAAAACCTCATTGCTCAAATAGAGTAAAATGAATTGTTTCATGGCCATAAATTAAAACAGATTTGTGTATTCCTTTCCACAGTAAGAACACTCTTTTCAATGGGACCAGAGTACTTACATGCTTCTGACTAAAACTCTCTGCTTCAGTCTTCTCAACTAATTCCTTGGCCAAGGAATTTATGATGAATATAGTATTCCTTTAGATAAGTTATATATTCCTACCAAGCTATAGTAAATCCCTTCTGGTCTGGGAGCCATTTTGTTTTTTAACACATTGTATGCGGAAAACGCATTTATACGTTCTACCAGTGTAGTAGAGCGTGGGACACGTATTAATACGTTTTTTTATAGACTAGCAGTAGAATGCGGGTAACGTATAAATACGTAAACTAAAGTTATCGTAATTTTACTGAACGTTGCCATTTGCACAAAAAATTAGCAAAAATGGCCCACGCCACCTGTTAGCTCGCGATAAAAACTACCGGCAAACAATGTGTTAAGATAATTTTAGATATAACTCTGCTATGATAGAAAATACATATTACTTCACTGATTTAGTAACCAGTCTTATTTCCAAGTTCTTAGCAATGCCAGAAGTACTATTACTATTGCTAGCTAATATCTATATATATAAAGAGGTAATATGCAAATTAGCTGGGACGCCGTAACAGTCACGACTGCTCAGGAGGAGGCTGCGTGTGCAGGTGGGTGGGAAGGGACTGCATGCACGGAGAGGCAAGCCACGAATGGCGCAGGCCAAGAGCAGACACACACACGGGGGGTCTGTCCAAGCCACTACGGCGCGGCTGGAGCAGACCTGGAGTGAACACACCACAGGAGGGACCTGCCCAAGCCGCCGTGGCGCACCGGCAATCCCGTCTCTGTGCGTGAACTGCAGAGGGAACACCTCTTCTCTCAGCTCATTGGCTAAGCTCCCTGTACGCCACTTGCAGTGTTCTTGGTAACCTGGGTAATAAGAATCCAAGAAGGTGATCTAGGGTTTTCCATCTCACTCCTAGAGGAAAAAATGAAGGCTCACTGCTGGAGGGGCTAAGAAATGTCATATCCTGCCCTAGCCGGTTTGGCTCGGGGGACAGAGCCTTGGCCTGCCGACCACAGGGTCCAGGTCTGATTCTGATCAAGGGCATGTACCTAGGTTGCAGGCTCCTCCCTGGCTGGGGCCCAGGTCAGGGCTCATGCAGGAGGCAACCAATCAAAGTGTCCCTCTCACATTGATGTTTCTGTCTTTCCCACTCTCTTGCACGCTCTCTAAAAATCAATGGAAAAATATCCTCAGGTGAGGATAAAAAAAAAAAAAAAAAGAAATGTCATATCCTATGGAAGAGACATCTTGAAAATGCCTAAAGAAAATTGTCATTTTTTCGTGGTGAAGGGATTGGAGTCCATGTTGATGAAAACACCTTGGCGGCTGCGGCGGCCGGCAGTGGCAGCAGCAGTGGGGTGATGGGGGTGGCACCTTACTCCGATTAGCCCGGTCACCTCCCGCAGAAGTTGGCCAGACTGCAGCTTAGGCCCGCTCCCCCAGAGGAGCGGGCCTAAGCCATCAGTAGGACATCTCCTGAGGGCTCCCGGACTGTGAGAGGGGGCAGGCTGGGCTGAGGCACGCCCCCCCGCCAGTGCACAAATTTCATGCACTGGGCCTCTAGTTATGATAATAACAGCTAATATTTGGGTGATTATATACTAAATCTTATGCCAAATACTTTATGCATAATATCTCATTTAATCTTTGTCACACTCTATAAATATTAGTCTCATTTTAAACGGAAAACAAACTTTTCAGAGAGAACATAAATTGCTGAAGGTCACAGAGCTAGAAAGTGGAAGAAATGAAACTTGAGTCCAATCTGTCTGACCCCAGAACTGATATTCTCATTCACTACTGTTAGTCTATAAGGTACTTCTAGCATTGCTATTCTATTTCTGGTTACTGGATTCCATATATACATATCCTGCATTTGAGGGGTGATGGAGGATCTATAAGTTATTGAGAAAATCTGCATATAAAATGTTCAAACCATTATATTATTTTTAAAAAATATTTATTTTTGTATTAATTTCAGAGAGGAAGGGAGAGGGAGAGAGACAGAAACAGCAATAATGAGAGAGAATCATTGATCGGCTGCCTCCTGCATGGCTCCTACTGGGGAATCAAGCCTGCAACCTGGACATGTGCCCTTACCATTATATTCTTTTTAAATAACATAAATGCAGGTGCTACTGCTAATATTAATTTATTCATTTAACATTTATTATTGAGTGCCTACTGTGTGCCAGCACTATTCTAGGAGCTGGAGAGACAGCAGTGATAAAAGCAATTCTCAGCTCTGGAGCTTATATTTGGTTGGAGTAAGGGTGTGGGAAAGAAAAGGAGAAACAAATTATATATATATATTAGATGGTGTTAAGAACTATGGAGAAAATAAAGCAAGTAAGGGAGATTGAGAGGGCAGAGGAAGATGGAAGACGGTACTGAACAAGGTAAAGCCAAGGAAAGCCTCTCTGATAAGGCAACATCTGAAAGAGATGCAGAAACAAGCTAAGTAGATATGTAAGGGAAGACCATGCCAGGCAGGAAGTAAGGGAGAAGAAGTAAGCTTGCTCAAAGAGTGAGAAGGCCAGTGGGGCGTATTCACAGTGGAGGTAATAAGAATTGGTCAGACTCTGCATATATCTGGAAGGTAGAATGATAGCATTAAAAAAGATCTTAATATAGAGAACAAAGCTATTTAAATGTAAATTTTCTTTGTCATTATACAGTATCAAACATTCTAAAGAATGAAGTAGAAACATTAAGATGACTTACTTTACTGCTCAATGCATTTATTTCCCGTTCAGCTTTATGTAATTTACTGATTAAAACAGTATTTTGTTCATTGCTTGATTGTAGCTCTTTTTCCAAGCGTTCAGCATGTAGTTTAACTGACTGTTTTTCAGCCTTTTATTAAAACAAAGTATTTTATAAATTTGTTCATAACTTTTCACAACTATATCAAAATAAAGTAAGCACTATTTAAAATATATGCGTAATCCACTACACAAAATTAATCAAAATCTCAACACGTACTGAAGAAAAAATATTTTTCTCAAAGTATATAGTAGAATTCAAATGAAAGATGTTTGCTCCAAGAAATATGCAACAAAGACATCTGGAACAAACATATATCAAGAGCCACTAATGAAATAAAACTCATATATTTATCTGGTGAATGCACTCACTTGATGCCTACTTATTCTTCTTATTGCTGACATAATTGGAACAAATATTTTGGGGGGTTCCAAATCCATAGTAGGTATAAAAAAGCATATTAGAAATAGAAGACAGGGCTCATTTATAACAGTAAGAAGTGAGAACTGAAAATCTAAAGTCAATGGAGTTTTTTTAAAGAGAGATATAAGAATTCAAAATCCTTAACTAATTTGTAGCCTTTGGAAGTATGGGCAAAGAGCTCAATAGCTCTTGACCTCATCACATAATAAAGATTCTTAATGAAGTCTGAAGTTGTCCAAAAAATTCTGGTTGGTAATACAGTACTCTTTAGTTAGAGAGGGAAAACTAAATGCTTTCTTAAAATAGTCCTACTCAAAATAGTTAAAATAAAAATTGCTTGGCATTTAAAGGATAAGCTTCAACTTTTATCTCATTTCTTATATATCTTAAGTATAATATAAGGAGTGTATTCAAATAATTTAGAAAAAAAAACACCTACTTTCCTCAAATATACAATAATACTTTCTGGGCTCACTGATAGCCAAAAATGTCAAAGAAGAAAGAAATGCTGTTTTCATGTACTTATTTTCATTTCACCTGACAAAATTAAATATAGGCTCTTTTGAAAATGTCACAAATGAACTTCCCATCTTTTTGTCATCATTTAGCTTGTCCTGAAAACAATCACTCTAAATGACCTCAATGAAAAGTTTCACACTGGCACCATATGTCATATTTAATTATAATCATCCACTTATTTGTCACTGTATAAATACATTAGGGATGATGAAACGATGGAACATAAAACAAGCAGTATCATTCTGAACTGTCTCACATCTAAAGACCAACAATACTGACTACTTTAGTTCAGGACCAGTAAATACTATAAAAAGCTTCATACACAAAATAAAAACATGACTTCTCTTCTAAACATATCAATACTCTCCTGGTACCAGTTTGCTGGCTGGGGGGGGGGGGGGGGGGGGGCGGTAGAGAAGAATCACTTTTGGATTTGGATCCTAGATTTTAATTATAAGCTAAGTGCCATTAATTTCTTTCCAACTCAAATCATTTCACAACTATCTGAATAAAAAACCACCACACTTTGGACTGCTCAAAATACATCAAAACAATTAAAATAGTATATTTGCGACATGTTAGGTGCCAAGAACTAGGAGGAGTAAGCATATCTGAGAAGACGGTGAAAGGGTCCAGAATATTTTGCCACTGTGGCATAAAAGTTATTTTAAACTGAAAACATTTGGGAATCAACAGACATTTTTTTAAGGGAGTTTTTCCCCTCAATTCCTCTTATCTGCCTAAAAACAGAGCCTTGGAAAAGAATGTAACTGTTATAAATTCCCACCCTAGGAGTTTCATAACTAGAGAAGACTCACTCCTATCATGAAAAACAAAAAGTCAGCATCAGGGTAAGAAACCCCCTACACAAGACATTTTCACAAAACTGTTATATCTCCCATCTACTTCCCTAAGGGCCCCTTTATCTTTCCAAAGTGCCCTTTCTTCCCTTCTCCCCACTTAAGATGGTATATAAGCCCCAAATTCTGACTGCCTCTTTGTGACACACTTTTCTGTGAATCCCCATGTACATACATGAATAAAAGCCCATCTTTTCTCTCACTAATGTTTGTTGTCATTCACAACCCCCAATCACTGAACCTAAGAGAATGAAGAAAAAGTTTTTCTTCAACAACCGAAACCAAGAATTTTGGGAGAGTCCCTCTAGGAGTATCAGCCTAGGGTCTGCCAGCTCTTATTTCTCTCTAATGAACTCAGGAAAACAATTCAGTAAAGCCTTATGCATTAGTAGCCAAGTCAAATTTTATTACTCTGGTAAACTCCCATAGATTATATAAGTATGGTATTTCTGTTTAAACAGGACTTATGATTTTAAGATCTTAAATCCCAGTGTAAGGAAATAACCACCTAGGAAATAATAGTTCCTTCTGGTTTGAGATCACTTTAGTCTCCAGAAACTCAAATAAATTTTTTTGGGTTTTGCATATTCTACTCTGTGGCATTACAAGGGTTAAATCATTTAAGATAGGTGACTTGACTCCCAAAGAAGAAATACTGCCTTTATGTATGTGGCAGCATATCCAATGCTTATGAATCAATAGCTTTCATCTTTACAAAAAATATATACTCTCGTGATTCCACAAATGCATCAGCATTATTAACTTGATGAGCATATATTTATGCTCTAAAAATCAGAGCCTTGTCAATGCACTTTTAAAAAAGCATGCCGTACTTTTTTTCTACTGGGAAGCAATTAAAACCTTACCTCCAGGGATCTGATTGTAGCCTGCATCTCAGCCAACTGCTGCACCTGAATTCTTTGGACATTTTCTACCCGAGCATCAGAATTCTCTTTTTCAGCCCTTAATTCGGCTACTTCGGCCTCAAACTCTTTTAATTTCTGAACCAAATGGACTTTTTCTCGAGTAAGTTGCTGCACTCGTTTGCTATCTCTTGTGGGATCAAGACTAAGCAGCTGATTACGTAGTTCTTCTTTATCTTTCTCCAGTCTTGCAATCTAATAACAATTTGAAAAAAAGCACACAACTTTAAATTATTAAATTTTCAGTCATGAACATGCATTACAAGTTTGTAAATTAAAATTTATAACTGCACAATGTAAAAAAGAAAGCTTAGGTAATGAAATGAAGTACCAAGAAAAAAACATCTAAAATATCACATTCTTCATTCTGACTCAGCATGGCTCAAATGTGAGGGCAAGTACCTTGTCCTATACTCCCCATGGTGTGTAGCACAGAGCTTCATCAGTTGCCAAATAAAATTCAAAATTATAAATATCTAGAAGCCCAGTGCACGAATGCGTGCATGGGTGGGGTCCCTTGGCTTGGCTGGCGATCAGGGCCATCTCGCCCAGTCCAGATTGAGACTGCAGGAGGTTGGCCGGCCGTGGGAGGTTGGCTGTGGGAACGCACTGACCACCAGAGTGCAGCTCCTGCTTTCAATGTCTGCTCCCTGGTGTTCAGTGTGCATCACAGCAACTGGTTGACAAGTCGTATGGTCCTAACGGTCGCTTAGGCTTTTATTTATATAGATTAGAGGCCCAGTGCACAAAAATTTGTGCACTCAAGAGCGGGGACCCTCAGCCCGGCCTGTGCCCATTCACAGTCCAGGAATCTTTGGGGGATGTCCACCTGTTGACTTAGGCCCACTCCCCGGGGAATCAGGCCTAAGCTTGCAGTCAGACATCCTTCTGGCAGCCAGGGAGCCCTCGGGGGATGTCCGAATAAAGGCTTAGGCCCCCAAGGGATCAGGTCTAAACCGTTAGTTGGACATTCTTAGTGCTGCCACGGAGGTGGGAGAGGCTCCTGCCACCACCACTGCGCTAGCCAGCCATGAGCCAGCTTCTGGCTGAGTGGCACTCCCCATATGGAAGTGCACTGACCACCAAGGAGCAGCTCCTGCATTGAGCGTCTGCCCCTGGTGGCCAGTGCACATCATAGCAACCGGTAATTCTGCCGTTCAGTCAATGTGTATATTACCCTTTTATTATTATTATACAGGATGTCCCTATTTCCCCCCTTTTGCCCCCTCTACCCAGCTCTTGCCCCTGACTTCTCTCTGGCCATCACCATACTGTTGTCTGTGTCCATGGGTTGTGCATATATTTTCTTTGGCTAATCCTTTCTTTAAATTCACTTCTTTAAATTTTTATTTTCAGATAAGTGCTTATAACTGCATTATTACATATTTTCTATTATATCATTTAGAATTAAGATATTTTTTAATTGAACCCTTGTAAATTTTAGCACAATTTAATAAATTATGCTAGAAGCAATTAGGAGATTTTTCATGTAATGCAGATACATTTCAATTAATATTTTATTAATTTTTAATTTTTTAATATTTTAATTTGAAATTATCTCATACATGTAAAAAAAACTATAAAATACTACAGCATATTATATGTACCCTTCACCCAAATTCTTAGGTGTTAATAATTTAAACATAACCATTATACAACTAACAAAATTTAGAATATATTTGTCTTATAATCTCTTTAATGTTACTTAATCCATTTACTTTGTTTTTGTTAATCTTCACCCAAGGATATTTTTCCACAGAATTTTAGAGAGAGTGAAGGGAAAGGGAGAGACACGTTGATTGGTTGCCTCCTGCACATGCTTTGATAGGGACTGGGGATCAAGCCAGCAACTGAGGTACATGCCCTTGACTGGAATCGAACCTGGAACCCTTCAGTCCACGGGCTAATGCTCTATCCACTGAGCAAAACAGGCTGCAGCTTAATTCATTTACTTTTAATCTATATGTGTCTTTATATTTAAAGTGGGTTTTGTTTTTGATTCACCTCATAATCTGTCTTTTAATTGGTGCATTTATGCCACTGACTTTCAGAATGCTTACTGATAGAGTAACTGCCCTATCAGGGGGCTTCTGGGCCTTCTGGGTCCCGCCTGCCTTGCCACCCAGGACCCGCTGGATGACGGTGCGCTGGCGGCTCGCACTGTCCAGCCCTGCCTGCAGTATGCAAATTAGCCACCATCTTTGTTGGTGGTTAATTTGCATATCACTTATTAGCCCATGGGAGGCGTAGCGAAGGTACAGTCAATTACCGTGTTTGTCTATTATTAGATAGGATACTATAAAATAATTATTAAATATCAAGTATTTAAAAAATTAATCAGAACATTACAGGGGCCTATGCAAGATCAATCTGCTGTTTACTGCTAAGCTTCTCCTCATGTGACAGTAATGCCTGGGCTGTCTATACTAATAAGGCAACTTAATTCACACAAAAAATGCAGCTTGTCTATATAAATAACTACAGATGTGAGTGATTAGTTTTTAAATGATAGCTGAGAGTTTATTAAAGCCCTAATTGTAATGACAGTATAGTTCCTAATTTTCAGATTCAAGAAAGAACTGAAAGTCATTAACCCACAGCATTTAGAAAGGTCACTGGGGAACCTGTAGAGCAGAAACACCAGTGCTCTTCTCATTCATGCCAAGCATCACTTCCAGACGCCCCGGGCCACCCAATCAGTGGGTTTCAAACCACTTCCTAACCTCTGAGGTACATTGGAGGCCTCTCTCCTCTAGGAATGAGGAGGAGGCCAAATAATCATGGTAAAAGGCACTTTCCTTTTCCTGATCTCCCAAGTATCTGTCCTTACCACCACCACTACCACCAAACCTTTGTAGTTAACCAGAGTTCCTCTTTTTAGTCTCCTTTCATATATGAGATTTCTTCAGATGATTCAACTTAAAGGATTCCACTGTGTGCTTTTTTAAAGTTAGAAACCACTGCTGTAAACATCACCAGTTGTTTTGTAGCCAGGATGAGCTTAGAAGGCTCCCTCTAAGCCAAAAGGATTTAAAGTAATGCTATGCAACCTAGGCAAAAGTGGCCCAAGAAACAACTGATTGCTCACTTGGCTACAAATGAACGTAAGAAGTGTGAGACCTACACCCCAGTGCAGAATCATCTGTAAAATGAGAGGTTAGACTGGAGGCCCTCAAGATCCTTTTCCGTTTTAACATGTAATAATTCCAATTTCGTTTCAGGTATGCTGAATTAAAGATGTCAATGGGAAATATAGGTAGAACTATTTAGCAAGCAAATATTATTTTCCAGAAAATAAAAATTATTTAGAAGGCAGCTGTACAATTCAGAGTCAAGTCCCCAAAAGCCCAACTAATTAGTTCCCTCCTATTTTTCCTTCCACCTTTTACATATAAACATTGTCCCTAGGGTTTCGTTTCCACCATTTCTTTTTCCATTCAGCTCCTTGTGTGACTCTGTGCAAGTCACTTTTTCGCTTTGCCCTTAGTTAAAATGAAAGGCATGGGATGGATTATCTCTAAGGTAATATGTAGCTTTTGCATACGGTAACTCATCTAGCTCAGGAGTCAATGTATGACTCAGATTCAGATAATTGTGCCTTTACTGAGTACTTTAGTGAGTGCTGAGCTGAGCTGAGCTGAGTGTGCTACACATATAACTGCATTTAGTAAGAATACTTTTTCTTGTAGTCTGCATATTACATGAGGTCAGACAACGAATGTTCTTGACCAGCTTGTTTCCTGCTTTACTGCTTTCTCTAGTAGTTTGGAGGGGCATGTGTGTGATAGCTGAAGTGGTAACTGAAGCTATGCACTGAGCTGACTAATGGCAGAGTCAGAACTATTAGACCTCACATTTACAACCCTAAACCAGAGCTCATTATCAAATCATTCCAACCAAAAGTGATGACCACTGCCTCCTTTCTCTCTTCCCTTATTGCCATGCACCTGGCAGTTCTGGGTAGTAAAGATACATCAGAAAACCAAGCACACAAACAAACACAAAACCTCTGTTCTCAAGATGGTTCTCTTCAATCACTGCTATGACACCACACTTGTCCCAGTCGTCTGGGCACAGATCTTGGACACACGCTCAGCTCGTGGCTTTTCCTCCACTCTCAGTCAGATTCACTTGTCATCTTCATTGATACCTTTGATTTGCTGTGCTCTCAATCTTTTCTCTAAATTTACAAAAGGTTTTGTTTAAATATCTCTTTTATGACATTTATTCAAATCACCCTGTGTTAGTTACTTCCATGCTACTTTATTCTCTTTGAGAATATAAAAGCTTCCTTGACAGGTAAGATGATGTATTAAACAATTTTACTTTTTAAAAACTGTTAAAGCAGAACAGAAACAGATCAGGAACTAGAAATACATAATTGTTGATCTTTACAATGGATGGTATCGCCACTCTAATTCCCTAAGGCACCCAAAAGGAAAAGGTTGTGTATCTAATTACTACATCTCATATCTAATTATTCCATCGGTCTTTGTTTATATTATCTTTATGATACAGCATAGAGATATAGTTAAGAGTACAGAGTCTGAAATCAAATGACCTATTTTTTTTTTTCTTTCAGAATTTTAAAGATATTGCTTTACTGTAGTTGGGCTTATATGATTTCCAAAAAGAAATCTGTTGTCATTATCTTTGTTCTTCTGTACAAAATATCTTTTTTCTCTGGTTTTTTAAAATTAACTTTTTATTTTTAGATAGTGGTCGGTTCACATGCAGTTGTAAGGAATAATGCAGAAAGATCCTGTGTGTCCTTAGCCCAGTTTCCCAGACTGGGAACATCCCACCCTCTTCCATTTTCTGGAAGACAGTGTGCAGAACTAGTTTTCTTTTTTGTTTTTTTAACCACTTGGTAGAATTCTCCAATTAAATCATTCTTTTGGGGAATTTTTAAATTATGAATTTAGTTTCCTTAATAGGTATACAACTATCTAATTATCTATTTCATATGGGCAGAGTTATGGTAGTATTTGCCTATTTCATCTATGTTTCTCAAATTTATTTTGGTAGAATTGGTCACCTCTATATAAGCTAATAAGAATATCTTATTACACTTTTGAAGTCTGCAAGGTCTGTAGTGATAATCTGTTTTATTCCTGATATAAGTAATCTGTGTCTTTCTTTTTTGTCAGTTTAGACAAAGTTTTGTCAACTTAATCTTCTCAAAGAAACAGCTC